CATATTAATCCATTCGTATGTACCCTGTTTTTGTATCTTTAAGCCAGTGCGAGTAGTCGACTGATAGAAGCGAATAGGCGGGTTGCTGTTGATCAACTGGCAATCAATGTGGAACTAAACGCTAAAGAACATAAGGTATTCGCATGGGTTTGTTGCGGTGCATCCAGTCCTTGCAATTTGCCGTCCCAAGCCGTAGTAGACAACTAAGCTCTCACTAATCACCCTCGAACGTCGGGTTCTATTTGGCATGAAACTGCCATTGTTTGATCTTAACTGCAGCTGATGAGCAGAGACCTTCCCCTTTTCTTTTTTTCTGCTGTACTATCACCCCAGCGTGTGTCGCAAATGCACGTCTTTCTTTCGTTTTGCATCCCCTCTGGGACCTTTCCTCCCTTTTAAAGTCTGAGCAATACGTAAGGCTGGACAAGCTAGCGTGTTCCTCCATCCAGGTGTGGTAGCCTATGACTGGCGCACCGAATGCTTTTCCATTTTACTAAGGGGAGTCATCCTTGTTCATTGACGTTGCTAGGAGGTTGTCATAACGTGCTTACCCCATTCCTGGATCGAGAAGGCTGTGAAACATTGGACTCAGACACGATTTTGTCTGTTAGTTTATGCGCCCACTAGTCGCCGCGTTCTTGGGTGACGAATAGTGGAATTTAGCACCTGAAAACCGAACGATAGGCCATTTGAGGACTGCATTTGGAATACAGTTGAAGATAAATTTCCGATTTTTTGATTATTGGATTAGTGACATTTAGGAAGCTCTAACAGACTGGCATCATTGTCAGCTGGTCAGTGAACACAGGGCCGGCGTACAAGTCCAGCAAAACTGCAGCCGACTTGCCTTTAGACGCACGCAAAAATCCCAGTCCATTAAGGCAGTTTAAGTGGCGGCAATGGGAGACTGACCGGTTGTAGATAGAATGGCATCCAGAGACGTCGTTTGAAATTTTTCTTACCCGGAGGACTTTGGCCTGCATCGACCAGTCATGGATCCCGCCGGGGGTGATCCTGGCCGGAGTATCTTTTTACCAGTCACCACCAACATTAGAGGCTAGTATAAAGAGGGCTGAGTCTGCCAATGCAAATTGCAGCACTTGTCTCAGAGAACTGTGTCGGGGCAATTCTACCTGCCAGTCAGTGCCTGATCTACTGGACTGCCCAGCAATGCTTTCGTATGTACAATGGCGCACCATGTACACCTCAAACTAACACTGAAGGCATTCCAAATGGCACAATCTGAGGCTACCGCACTCCAGATTGGATGGGTTAGCAAAGGGGCAGGCGTACCTTTGACGCTTAGCGGACAGCCATTAACTTCGGGCTGCTAACCTTTTATGTAACCTCGCTCAGTTGGCTTGCACAAATGATGATGATGATGATGAGGGTGACGACGAAGTAAGCTATTTTTTTTTCCAGCATTTCATATATTATCAACACCTCAGTCAGCCTTGCAGTTGCCTTCGTCCTACTTCAAAATATATTATGCTGTTTTTGCCATTTGGCTGGTTTCAGAGCTCCCGTTTTTCGAATTCACTACCTGATGTTCGCCATGATCTTCGTAAAGGCATGCTCATTGGCCTTTCACGCTGTAAGTGAACTACTGGTTGACTCGATGTCCCTATCATTTCCGCGTATGTTCCATGCTTGACAACTTGACATCGAGTTCTCTGATCTGCCTTGCCTCTTTCAGATCAACTTCTACGTTATTGGCAGGCACGGGGTACCCGAGGAAGGCTGGGCTGTGATGTACTACATTTCTCACATGTAAGTGATTGCGTCTGTGTTGAAGATCCTTGTCGTCCTCATCTCGGCAGGCTTCCATTGAAACCTGGCTACTTTAGAGTGCAGTTAAACTGCCACAGTATGAAAATGCTGATGCTGTATTTGACCGACGGGCATTTCTTTGAACCACACTTCCTCGGTACAACTATTTATCGTTCATGCATTTGCCGAACTGGTGCCTACCGTTGGCTGCCGCAATCAAATAGTCAGTTATTTTCGGCTACTCTACTATTGTGTCATAGTTCTCTTTTTACTCACACGTCTCTGCTGCCTACTGTTCTGGTATACTCATTCAGTCCTGTTTTTCTGCAGAACAGAATCATCGGTTAAATCGAGTGTTATACCATATGTCTCACGTGTGTTCTCCTTAGAGAAGTTTTCAGCAATCATATTGCAGTACACCCTCAACGTAAAAACAGTTTTTCCTCGGGAGAAAAAGACACCTACCTCCTACCATGTGTTCACTTGCTTTTTTCTTTTATGTATCACACAGGACTCGAGGTTTCCTTCTGTTTGTGACCATCCTCATGATTGGCGCCGGCTGGACCTTCATAAAGCACGTCTTCAGTCGACGTGAAAAGCACCTCTTTGCCATCATCATCCCTCTTCAGGTGAGATTGCACAGTCGTATGTTGGTCCAGGCACACAACACTAATTAACGCCCCCCCCCCTACCCACTTCCTACAGATGCCTAATTAACAGTATTCCACAATGTAATGATGTTAGGTGTATCCTAACTCTGGTATGTGTATAGACTGAAAAGTTCTTTTCATAAACATGTGGACACCCACGTGCCTCACTACAGATTCAGTGCGCACAGGAGTGTCGCTGCAGTCAGCCGCATAATTTGAGTTTTTGAACTGCTTCAGCCGCCACCACAGGGTGCTCTGCATACCATTGTCTTCTCTAAACTAAAAAGAGGGCTTTCGTACCATCAGTTCAGAGTTCTTTTCTAAATTCATCTGGCGGTAATCTGCTGACCTTCTTGCGTCAGCCACACTGCCTTTGATGTATAAGTAAAATGTTGACTTCGGGCGGTCAGTTGGATATGTTTTCAACTCTTTTCGACTGGATAAATCTCTTCCACACATAGTTTTTACACTTGATTTGGAATTTTCGAACGTTGAATTACTATAAAAACTCATGATTTTGGCCTTTATTTCTTGGGTGGGGACGCCCAACACTGATTGGCAGGCAAATAAATCCAGAAATATTTTAAGGTCTGCTGGCCTTATACTGAGCTTTTTCCGACTGCCCGAAGGATGAAAAAGTCTGCTAAAATAAATGCTTGAGTAATGTTAATTTTTTCATTGATATTCAATGCCTGTAGGATTTCAGCCCCATTTTATGAATAGATGCGTGAAAATTGTGGATGTTATTCTGGCAGGCTGTGTACTTACCTGTGTTACGACGTTCATGGTGAAAATTTTAACATATTAAATTATCTTTTGAATAGTAGGGTTTCCGCACGTTTATTGGCAGTTTTTTAAAGTATAAGTGTATTTATAATTTCTCTTATGAGCGTCAGGTGTTTATTTAACGGCAAAAAGAGATATGCAACCTGGCTTGAACAGAAAATACACAACACCTAATTCCGAGATTCTAAACGCATTTGCACTAACACGACAGTTCCCCCGTCGATTTCGACGATGGGCACCACGCGCTCCAACA